TTTTGTTCTTATCAGGGTCATTGTAATGAGGGTGAACCAGGTTACTGAATTTGGTATAAAGCAGAATCCCCATTTGGCATAATAGTGTTTATCACCATTAACAGTGCTTCATTTTGGAGGGGTTTACCTGCTTGCTGTTTTGGATTAAATGTCTTCCTTTTTTTTTTTTTTTTCCCCAGTTTCTGGGCAATGTTCACATTTCCTGTTTCCCTGGAGACACAGTAACAGAAATTTATTGCCAAAGGCTGCACTGTTTCAAATTGCAAAGGTTGAGCATTTGAAAATTAAACCGAAATACAAATAGTTGCATGCTTTTACAATTGTATTTACTTCCAAACCACACGTTTCTTCCTGGGGAAAGTAATCTTTGTGGGTCTAATCTTATTGATGTCTTCTTTAGCAGGAACAGCTGCAGCTCTTGCAGGATGAAAATATCAGGCTAAGCAAGCTGGTTTGTAAGCTAAAGGCTCTGAACTGTTGGAAGCAAACCACTCAGAAGGCACAGCTCTCTGCAAAGCTTAGAGATGCTGAGAAGGTGATATTTCCCTACCATTTCACCTGTTATTAGTCTCTAATTTTCTGCAGAACTAATGGTCAGACTGGGCCAGCTCACTGTTACTTAGTGAGTCTATAGGATCTCATGGTAACTGCAGATTTTAGGTAAAAATTCTAAACTTTTTCCTCCTCTATATTATGGGTATAAGGGTGGTCTTCAAATGTGAAGAGTGTGAAACAAATCCCTCATGCCTTGCTAGAAGCAAGAGTCTAGGAAGTATGAGTAGCCTACAGTACTCCTAATTCTGTTGTTGACTCAGAAGACTAATTATGACATATCAAACCCAACTATTTCACAACGGACCAAAACGTATGAAAAAGAAGACAGGCAGACATGAAGTGAAAATGAACGAGACTGTTGGCTTGGGAGGTAACTGAGGTGGTTTTTTTGTTTTTTTTTTTAATTGGTATCTGCTTAAACAAAGCAGAACACAGCATGAGGTTTATAAATTTAATTACAGAAATACAAGATGAAGCACAAAAATGACTAGATTAAACTGAAGTGAAGGAGGATGGAAAGAAAAGTGCCTCAGTGCTTTAAATGAGGCTGATTAGAATGGAACAAACAGGTTATTGATTGTTATATAGGTTAATTAGCTGCACATGTCAAACAAAGGCAAGGCAGAATGGATCATATTTGTTAAATTAAAAAGAGTCAAAACAAAATGGGTTTTGTGTGCTTGTTAATTTTAAACCGAAATAAAACTGCATGTGCATACACTTAGTTCAGTTATATCAGGGAGATGCTAAATCATTAGACTGTTTTATTAAACAGATCAGTCAAAGATGGATTGAATTATTGCAAATTTGTGCATTTAAATAAAAGCTATCTTAACAGGATTTAAAAGAAAAGTCTGAAACTGATAAAAGTAAATGGTAAAAATGGCTTTTTAAAATTAGAAACTAGCTCATCTTGCTCAGACAGAGCTTTCTTGTGTCTAATGTTGGAATGATCCTGAAGATCTAAGAACTTGTATTTCACTGTCCTCCATTCTAAGCACAGAGGATAGTGGACCTTGCTTTTTCCGGTTTCAATGGCTGGGAAAGGAGAGAGGGCTGTTAAATCTGTGCCTGGCATGGTAACATGTATATACCTGTTTATGTTTGTGTTTAAAACAAACAAATTCCCCTGCCCAGAAGGAAAACAAACTTTACCACACTCATTTTTACTTTAGAGATGATGAAGGAATAAACGGATTAGTAGCTGGACAGGTCTTTCTAATGCATAAGAGAGATCAAGTTTTGCATTGCTTTGAGCTTGTTTGCACACAAGCACTTAAAGATGTGCAGTTGTACCCATATGAAAGATTATCCTACATTTTCCCCTTTAGAGGACCCCTCTTGTCCATCCTGTTCCTCATTTTGTCATTAAAAAAAGGTCCAGCCTTTACTAGAAAATAGGGACAATTCAATTTCACTTTACCAAAATTCTCGGAGAGATGTACCTTTCAAGAAACCCACCGCTATGTAAAAGAGAAAATCACTGCTCTCATCATTGTTTCTGTTATGTACTTTCTGTTTGCAGGAAGCTCTTCAAAACAAAAAGGAGTGTCTGAATGCTATGATGATGGCAGAACAAGAGGTGACTTTGGTTCAGGGTCAGCTCATGTCTGTAAGGAAAGCTCTTGCAAAATCTCAGGCAGAAAATGACAAGCTAAAGAAACAGCGACATAAACAGGTATCTGAATGCAACAGGTCCTGATTCACCAGCGCAACAAGTTGAATTCTTCTCCCTATCTTGCTTGCTTTAATGGGGAGTTTGCCTACTGTTATTCTAGGAGAGAAATGGATTCAAAACTAACTGCGTAATACAGTTACTAAAGCTGGATATGTCTTTCGTGGCATTGAAACGATGTGTCTGGCTGAGTTTTTTCACCACTGCAGGTAGAGAGAACTAGGAAAAAAAATGTAGCATCTTGGAGTCACGTACCAAAATGACAGTGACAGGCACTACGTTTATGTATGCCATTGGCAGTGCTGGATGTATGTTTTAGAAGAGGAAATGACACTTAATATTTTATGCCACAGATAAAAAAAAAAAAAAAATAAATTCCAGACCTTGAGGCTATTAGTCTTCCACCCAATCATTAAATTCCAAGGAAACATTCTGGGATATTGTCATTAAATCCAGAACAAATTCATTGCACATTTTTTTTCCCATCTGAACACCTTCATGGATATATCACTGCCACAGCAAGCTCCCTCTCACTTCTACAGATGGCTACACATGCTAAAATGGCCCATTCCTCAAAGTCAAGCTGAAAAGCACACCCTTCGCTTGCAACATACTTAATGCCAAGCAAGATGATTGTATGGAAAACAAGTCTTGTCAAACCGACCTCATTTCATTCTGCTGATAAGATTAAAAGTTAGATAGAGAAGCGTAATGCTAGAGATTCCACCTACCTGGAAGGGCCTTGTAACTCTTGGGTTAGCAGCACATTACTTCTGAATTTTAAACTTTAGTATTAAACAATATCAATAAAAACACTAAAAGGATTGAGAGCTACATTTTTTGACATCTAGAAATGTGTTATTTTCATTAAATGAAGATGGTTACTGATGCATTTCTAGGGGGGTTGGTAGCAGCACTATCCGTATTCAACATTTTTGTCAGTGGCTTGGAAATAAATATAAAATTACAGATTTTAAAATGTACCAATGACATATTTGGGGAGGAATGTTAGTGAATTTGATAAGGCACATTTAGTGAATAATGATATGGGCAGAGCAGGAGTACAGAAGCACACAGATAGCTTGGTAACTTGGTTATTCCTCCGAGAAGTAGGTCAATGCCTGGGTGGATGAAGAAGGAGAAGAAAGCAGGACTTGCACAGAACAGGGTGGCTGCATCCCTGGGCAGGACAGGGGTCGTAACAGATGACTGGCCATGTAGTGTGGTACTGGAAAGGATGGATGCTGCAATCTTTTCATTTATAAAAAGGAGACTAATGCAGATATATTAAAAATTAGTTTGTAGCTCTATGTACAACACACTGAAATACTGCTGCTGGTTCCAGAGTGTACTACTTAAAAAAGATGAAGAAAAAATTGAGTGTGGAGAAGAGTTACAAAAATTATTTGAGGAAAAAAAATTTGAGGAAAAAGCTGCAGGAAATGCTTTCTAGCAGAGGGCTCCTAAAAGGCTCAATCTGTTTAGCCTATCTGAAAGAAGAGTGGCTTGGTTACAGGTATTTTTATTGGGAGAGAGTAGCAGGTATCAAAGGGTTCTTAGGGAAAGGTTTGACAAGAGGTGGTGCCTAGCAGTTGAGGTCAGGCAAACTGAAAACAGGGAAGTAGAAACAACATTTCCAAAATGTGATTAACCGTAGAAATGACAGTATGCTTAACTGAGTATCTTCAAGTCAAGACTGGATGCCTTTCTGGGAAACGTGGTTTAGCTAAACCATCGTACTCATTCCAGTACAAGGGTAATTAAGCTCTGTTGTGAACTTATCAGTCTATGAAACTCCAACCTTAGGAAGCCTTAGATAGCTCCCCAGTGAGAAATGTTTAGGCTGTGGCTGCTTTTAGCTCTTTGTATTCAGATTTTTCACCAGAGCGGAGTTGCCTTTGGCCGATACATTTATTTTCTTCACTGTCAAGCTGTCAATTTACTTCCAAAAGACCCACTGCATCTACCATCTTTGTAGCAGCTGCTTTTGTTGTCGTTGTTGTTTTAGTTTTTCTTTGATTTCTGACATCAGCTTCTGGTTCTTTCTCCCTAGTTTCTCTCTTTGGTAGATTGTCATGATGGTATTTACAAAGTGCAGCAGACTCCATTCCACAACCCTTGGCTCTACAGGAGGGTTTTACCTGATATGGACTGGCTTGTAACACTATTGCATTCAGTTGTGGTACAGATTCTCAGATGAAGCCATACTTACTGGCTGTCTCTACAAACGGTGTATAGACAGCAATGTTTGAAAAAGCTGTGCTCATTTTCACCCTCTCTTTCCTTGTTTAGATGTTGTTTTAAAAACAAGTTCCACATGCAGACCAGAGGCTGGTTGCAGAAAGCAAATTACACAAGACAGGAAACTGGAAGCAACCCGTGCCTTGTTCATTTGCAATTGAAAGAATTCTACACATGAATGTTGTTTTGAGGCTTCTCACTCTAACAAGCAATGATGTAAATACAGCATTCTGTTCCAACTCCCCCTTATCCTTCCCTTGTGCTCCCTGTTCCTACAACCCAAATTTTATTTTGGGTTGAGGTCTGACTGTGGTCCTTTCATAAGACTATAGGATAATTCAGTTTTATTTACTAACATTTCATTATCTTCAGTAGCAAGCCATGTGGGATTGGGTCTCTTCCTCATCAGCTCAGCTGGGCATGACATCTGAGGACTGGTCATTAGGGTTTAAAAGGAAATTGAAAAAGGTATCAGGGGAACTGGGGGAAAGCAATTTGAGTCTGAAGCTGTTGTGATTGTATGTTGTAGAAACAAATGCTGTTGGAAGCAGTACAGAGGAAGATACAAGAAACCAAGAAGAGACAAATACTCATGTGATGAAAGCTGAAAACACAGAGAAGATGCTTGAAGAGGTAGGAGAAAAAGAGCAGAGAGTGAAATGCCTAACCAAGGAAGCTGAAAAATCTTCTAAAACATGCCATCTTCAACAAAAAAAGGCCAAAAAAGAAATGCAGCAGGTAAGCCCATAATGCAGATTTGACAAATAAAACCAGTAGCACTGCTGGAGAGATGTCTTAAGTTTTAACACTGTCTGACCACATCTGAGTGTATCCCTTCAAGTGTCTGAATTTTGGAGCTCCACTGCAGCCCTCCCAGTGCTCTAACTGAGGGTCTGGGTGCTTAGGGCCATGTTCCACCCATTGGTGGCATCTTGTGTTTCTGCTGCTTCTCAGGGCTTTCCTATTGAGTCTGGTTCAGCATCTTCGCTCTAGAAAGTGAGTAGTATTCTCCTTAATTGAGAGGTAAACTGCCTGAGAGTTTGTGTAAGGTGACAGTGCACCGGGAATGGGTGTGCAGCGCTTGAGAACGTGCTTGCACCCCTGGGGGGAATGGGGGTACAGCAGCTAGAGCAGCAAGCGGCCAGCTGTGTGTCCCCTGTCGGGATATCCCCCGGCACTGTGCCCGAGGCCTCTGCTGTAACCGCTGTCCTCGTCACGAGGCTCAACGTGGAGCTTTGGAGCCTCACTCGGGCTCTGCCTCCCTGCTGGGGCCATGTTCCCGGGTCTGCAAGCGCCTGTCGCTTTCCTGGCTCACCCTGTGATGTTTCCCAGAGGGGTTTGCTACCTTGGCACCAGTGCTGCAGAGCTGACAGACTGCTGTCCTTTTGCTTTATCTAGTCTGCATTTGATATAAACCCTCTGCCCATAGGTTACACCACCATTTCCCAAATTCTGGACTGCCAAATGAACGTATTGGGAAGGGAACTGCTTTAATGCAGTCTGGCCACAGCAATGGCATTAGTTGTCACTGAATTGACGCCATCCGACTGAACTGATATATTGAGTTTAAATCTGTTACTGTATTGCTAATCATTGATGTAGTGTAACTGCGTAACCAGATCCACTTTTAAGATTATCTTCCTGTAAAAGAGATGTAACTACTTCAAGTTAAAAACTGATTTGGTCAAGTAAATACAGTTTAGCACAGCTGGTAGAGTGGGCTCTTGGCTGTGAAATGTGCAGTGCTGCTTTTGTAGTGTAGCCCGCAGAACAAGAGACTGTTTGGAAACCACTCGATTAGACTTTAACTAGATGAATCCATCTACTAACTGACAACTGTGCTGCCACTGAAGTCTCCTTGCCCTTGCTTTCTTGGTCTAGAGGGGGAAAAAAAACTTTCTAAATGTATATGAATGCCTCTCCTGTAAACCGAGCAAAATATATTGTCTTCAGTCTTCTAAAGCATCAAGGTGAAAGCATGGGCTGTTTGTTTTCCAGAGTCAGGATGACAAATGCTATTCTGCTGGGAACACTTTCTCAGGCTGCTGGCATGTCTTGTAACCAAAATCATACGAAAGATTTTTTACACAGCCAAAGCAGTTGGTGCAGACACGTAAGCCCACCGATTTCATTGGGATCTGTCTTTGATGGGGCTCCAAACTGTTTTGCTGTGTTTACAAAATAACCCTTCAAGAGATCAGAGTTGTCAACATCTGGACCAGCATTTAAGGAGACCAGGAAAGAAAACTGCAGTGGGGAGGCTTTTGTTGCCACACGACAGTCCCAGCTGCAGCTAGCACCTATGTGGTCATTAACACTAACAAACACTCCATTTAAACTTAGTTAGCAAATTACAGAGTCTGTGGGAGAGATGAGGGAAGAGCTGCTGCTTTTTCCACACACTTCTGCACTGAAAATGGAGGTAGGGTCTTGTCTAATTTGGGCTACGTGCAGAGAACAGTGAGAAGAGGCCTCTGTATTGTTTTTATCTTCCTCCAGCAATGCCTGAAATGCAGATTCCTATTAAACAATAATGAGAATGTCAATTTGCACTACTTATGCTGTATTTTGCATTCAGATGGATCATGGATATATTTAACAAAGCTGTAATTATGGATTATTTCGACCAGCAAGAAGTGATGGCCTCTCATTCACAAGAGTACACAGGGTGACATCATCTTTTCCTTTAAATCTGCTTTGAGGCAGAGCTGTCAGATGATGAATTTTTGTTGCTGCCATTAATGCTTTTACCACCTTCTAGATAGGAAGCCAGTTAACCCAAGAGTGCAGTTTAAAACGGGAGGACTTCCAGCAGGCTGATGAACTTCAGTGTCAAGTTTATGACCTGGAAGCTGCAGTTTCCCAGAGGAATGCGACAGCAGGTAAAGACAAGCTGTGTGTCGTAACCTGCTTGCTTGGAGAAATAAGTCTTAAGAGCTATGTGTCCATGTCTCTGAATCCCTCCTTAACCTTTGAAGCAATAGGCTTCTCTCCTCTGTAATGAAAGCCTTTAGGTAGAGCAGAAAGACCTAAAACAATCTTGAGGAGAAGTCAGACAGCTCCAAAGCCTTATGCTGCAGCTGCTCAAGCAGCACTCTCACATTAATAACTTTAAACCCTAACTTGTGTTGTCTCTTGTTTTGGGAAATATGAGGGGCACTGCATTTAGGGGAGGAGGCAATTAGGCAACAAAGGATCCCAAGTGGTAGGAAATCAGGCTTCATGAGTGGCTCTGGTCTTGGAACAGCTTGCTTACTTACCAACCACGTGGGGCAGCCAAATGAGACTGTACCCCTGTAATTTGATTAGATACATGCCTATTATTTTGGGTAGCTTTAGAGGGTCTCAGAACACTAGTGGGAGGCTTTCTAGCCCTTAATTGAATTAACCTGGAACTTAAACCTTTAACAAAAAAATCTTTCTTCTCAGCTGTTTGTTAGGTAACTTGTTAACATAATGCTTACATAATTCATGTAGCTTAAAAGCTTGATTAGGGATTTCTACTCCTACCTGCCTGAAGTTGCTGCTTTTCTCTGGGGTATCAAAATCCTACTGTCAGCCTGATAAACTCATGCAGAAAAATTGATGGGTGATACCTAAATTCCTAGTAACTTAAGTAAACAGGAAAAAAACTCCAATGGTCTTTCAAGGTGCATTTCTATGCCATGAAGAATATGAAGTCCTACAGATTTAATTACAGTTTCCTTCTGCAGGAAGATGTTAGTTATTCCTGCCAAAGGAAACTGAGAAAGGCTCATTAGCACACTGCTGAAGACAAGACATGAACCAAATATAGGGAAATAAAAGAACAGGGAGGTATCTTTAATTAATACATGAATACACTTGGTTTCTCTGGCTTTAAATTGATAAAGTTCAGGGGAAAAGTTGGTGCAAATCCTTTAAGTCACACTGATGCTACTGAGCACAAGGAAAGCAGCTGTGACAGAAAGGTCATGAATTATTACTCTTTTTTTCCTGTAATGAGTTACCATTGTTAAACATAACGCAGAGCTGTAAAAATTGGCTGAGAAGCTTGAATTTCTCTATGCTCAACATAGGAGCTCCATAAAGCTACAGACACCTAGTCTGAAATGTGTTAAAACCCTGCAATGTATTGTAGCTACCTTTTTTACTTGTGACTTTTTTTTTTTTATTCCTGGGTCTGTAACAGTAGATAGATGTTGTGAGGTTTGGTGGTGGGGTTTTTTCCCCCTTCAAAAAGGTAGTAGGAAGACTGCAGAGCTGTTGTCCCATAATATAAGCAGTGTAAGAAGTCATTTTCCAGGTAGTAAGTCAATATTAAATAGCTATCATTTTTGATGCATTAATACTAGTACTTCTCATAAGGCAATCCAGACTTGCATCATGGGAAGATATGGGTTTTTTTTCAATTAATCTGAGTTGTACTTTGTCACTAAGCTGACTTCATACCTATAGCATTTGGCCAGACCTTTTTGTATAGGGGTGGCAACTGTTACTTGTAATAGCCCTGTTTTGACTGTAAAGGTGAAGGTATTTTTGAAACCAGTCATGACAACCCCAGGAATTGCCCACATAGCCTAAGACTTCAGCCAGCTTGTAAGAATGATCTGTGGATCAGCAGTCTGAGCCATGTCTTCTATCTTTTTCTCCATTCCTTCTCCGCCATCTTCACATCTTCTTCCCCCTCAAACGCACTGGACCACGGCCTATCTCAGTAATGTAAAACAGTTGCTGCACTTCTTTCTGGGTTCATGTGCTTGAGGATGCAGGGACACAGAATGCAGTCTGATCAGACTGGATAGATGTGCTGCTCCCTTGGCCACGCACCCTGAAATAATGCCAGAAACAGCTAACCAATGTGGTCTGAAACTTCTCAGATTGTATCTGAGAAGGAGGAGGAAGGCGGTCTCAATTAACAAGTGCAGGATTACAGCTATACAGCAAAAATACCCTCCCCTTTTTACCTAAAGTCAATGGGAAAGGGTAACATAGGGTTAAGAAGTTGTAGAGTACATTGTAAATAGATACAAATCAGGGTTAAATCACATTATGACTGATAGCAAGTGTAGCATTTGATTTGGTGGGGGGTTTTTTTAGTGGCTGAAGGGTTGTCATTAAGTGGCAGCATCTCTGCTTTTCAGAAATATACAATGATGAAAACTGGAATTCACTGGGGAATTTAGTGTCTCTGGGAACAGATCATTTAACACCCACCCACCCCTTTTAATCTTGGCTTTCAACAGGACTAGGAAAGACAAAGTTGTGGGGAAAATAGTCTCATATAATGAAGTAGACTTGGGCCAGCAAGAATTTTCTGCTTCAGGAAGATGTCTCCTGCTGGAGGAATGAATGCTGATACTCTCATTACTATGAATGACAAGGGCGTGGGGTGAGCTGCAAAAATTGCAGATAGTTGTTGCAAATATCTGCAGGTAGTTTTTGTTCTACTTCATGTCAAGATCATCCATGAACTACTTTTTCCAGACTAAGCAATCTATTATTCTATTAGTACTATGCTGAGTGTTCACAACTTGTTTTGGGTTTTTTGTGGGTTGGGTTTTTTTTGTTTGTTTGTGTCCAGGACAGGACAAGGGGCAATGGGCACAATCTGAAGCATAAGAGGTTTCAGTTGAAGATGAGGAAAAACGTCTTCACTTTGAGGGTGACAGAGCACTGGAACAGGCTGCCCAGGGGGGTTGTGGAGTCTCTTTCTCTGGAGATATTCAAAGCCCGCCTGGATGATGTCCTGTGCAACCTGCTCTAGGTGAACCTGCTTTAGCAGGGGGGTTGGACTGGATGATCTCCTGAGGTCCCTTCCAACCCTTGCCATTCTGTGATTCTGCTTAGAGGAGAGGAACAACAGCTTTTGCATTTACTTGAATTCTGCTTTAAGTGTTGCTGCTAACGCTCCAGGTTCTGCTGCTCAGGTCCAGAGTAACAAGCTTTCAGCATCCACTCAGCATGGTGATTACCAGCAGCATCCTTTGAATTTTGACCCAAGCAGCAGCAATGGAAGAGGGGGGAGCACTCAAAGACAGTAAGTAATGGTGGTATTAATAATAAGCAACAACTTTGCTAGTTTGCAAGCTGTGGTTTGTATATACATGCCCAGGCAGATTTCATCTGGATAGCAAGTCAAATCGCTTTGAAGATTTATCTTTAAGAGCAAGGTGACCAGTATGTATGGCTAACAAACAGGGGAAAAAAAAGTTCCAAAAAATGACTAATGAAAGGGGATGGGATGGAGCTATTTAGTTAGCAATGGTCCAGGAAAGGGGTTTGTAGGTTGGTGGGGTTTTTGGTGTTTTTTTGGTGTGTTTTTTTTTTTTTTTTAGTACCATGCCATGGTTGGTGACTTTTTTTTTTTGTATGTTACTTATGCTTTCAGGTGCCTAGCAGATGGAAGGAGAGAACAGCAGATAGGCTATTACCACATCTAAATGAAAAGTCTCTTCCTACTGTCTTCATGCAGCAACAGAAACAAAGGCTGGTCCAGAAGTAAACCTAAATCTATTTTTAATCAGTCCAGGGCATTTTAGAAAATGCCACTGAACTGGCAATCTTGAGTAAGAGAAGAACAACTTACCTACAAATCATAGAGAGGCAGTAATACTCCAGTGCTGTGCATATGTCCTTCAACATGTTTGGATGCAGTGGTCAATACCAGCTCCAGTTCATCTGCTAATCCATTTTAGGAAGTGGGTGATGTGGATCCTCCTCCTGAGCAAGAGCAGCACTGCATGTCTTCCCTTCACAGTGCAGGAAAGCAAGGATATAGGTCACAACTAAAAGGCTACCTTGGAATGTGGTGGTACAAAGCATAGCTAAGTGCTGAGAGCAAAAGCATTGGGTCTGGTGTTTGGGTTTTTTTTTTTTTTTTGTTGGGTTTTTTTGAACTACTTTCCTGTTGCAACCCCTGGCCACCACATCCTGCCCAATGCAGCACTCTCACACCCAGAGGTTGCTGCCTGTACACTGAACCTTTCATGCTGGTTTGAAGATGACTCATCAAAAGCATCAGTGCCTCCACCTGCCTAAGCACCTTCTCTCCCCTCCCCCTAGAAGGGGGAAGAAGGACAGGCAGCTCCTTGCACAATGCAACACTAACTAGAAGAAAACTGAAATAAAATGTGTAAATTTATCTGCATTTCTCTTGCACAGAAAAAAGCTTGCTTCTATAGCCTAAGCAACAAAGGACTCAAAGTTGTCTTTCAGAGATATGTCAAGTTGTATTGCTTTTGATGAGTTAGTATTCTAATTTATGTGCCTTTCAGCATCATCCACATCCCTGAACATGAATAATCTCATGTACCTCAGTACTCTTTTTGTAAGTAACTAAGACCTAGAATTAAAGTTGGGTAACCCTTAACAGCATTGCCTTGGTTAAAGACTGAGTAAATGTGTTAGGAATGCTGCAGTATTTAGAGATAGAGGATTCCCAGAATAAGGCTGACATCCTTCACAATTACTGAAACAAGCTTTATTTCATTCAAGCTTGCTGCTACATCAAAACAAGTCACAATATAATCAGAATGCTGTAGAATCAGTTATCAAATAACATGAGTTCTTTTTAAGGTATGCCCTAAATGAATGACAAGGTGACCAATAACTATACAAGGTCAGCTGTCACTAGAGAAGCCATCAAATGTGATTCTAGCACATTCCAGGAACCAGATGCCAACTTGGAAGTAGAACAGTATCATCAGTATGAAGCACTTCTGTGTCATCACAGCTGTAGAAGGAAAAGGGCTGTCTCAGGCTAATTACAGCTTCTTGAAAAAATATTTCTCCAAGTTATTACTCAGCTTAATGCAGCAAAATTCAAAGATGAGTTCTGAATGACTGCTATACCTACAGCTGACTACCTTCAAAGAACAGCAGTAGCACAGGCTTGGTACTACAGGGATAAACAAATGTGCATAGGTTTTCAGTGCTGCATTGTAACAAAAACTTAACTCGGTCCTTCCTTGACTGGGTGCAGTACATGGATGATATTCTGGAAGGCACAGCAATTTTACGTACATCAGGAAGCTCTAGGTTTCCTCCATTTCTATACAGCCTTTCCAGAAATACTACTAAAGCTTTTGCAATTTCCTGTAATATGAGCCTTAGATATGTCAATACTACCTGCTGACACATTCACAACCCACAAGAGCATCAAGGTCATGATGTGAAACTACTGAGGTTACTTCACTCAGAGCTGGTTATCATTTTGCTGGTTATCAGTCTGCAACTACAGACTTGCACACCCCTCTCTTCTCTTGTTCAAGCATACTGACAGTCTTTCTCTAGCAAATATCCTCCTCTTTCTCGTGCAATCAGGAAAGAAGTAAGGCTCACAGCAATACCTTTTTCATGAAGGTCAAAGATCTTCATGTGAAAAGATGCTACAGTGCAGGGGTTAACAGCAGCCTCCCTGGAACCACAGACTGCAGTCCCTCTTCCACCTTACAGGCTGACATCCAGTATTACAAGGTTTGCTACTGGGAAGAAGAGCATTAAGCCTTACAGGTTGTTCCAAGTGAACGCTTAGTAAATGCCTTGCCATTAAGGAGAGAACAGGGTGAAACCAAAATGGAAAACATGACCTCAATGAGAATTCTTTTGGAAACAATTCTAAATCTGAACCAGTATTGTTGCACATACCAGACACAAAGTTCACACTGTATTTAGGAGAGCTAACTTAACTCTTCAAACCTTTTCCTACAGTATGCCTCAAATCCTATGGAAAACAGCTCTTATCTCCAGAAAGTTGGCAGACAGTCCCCTCTGTGACTGCTCACATTAAAGAAAGTTTACAAGTAAAAGTTCCATTCAACAGATTTTATTTATCAATTTGGTTTTGCGATTACAACTGTTTCAGTTTTCTTCCACTGAAGACAAAATACAAACTTTTACAGCAACACTTGCAGAAAACATTCATAAGATAACAGCTTGATATTTGCACAAGTTGGCTTCAAGAAGAAGCCAGGTAACTTGAAGAGTCACTACAGTTCAGTGCCTAAAATTGATTTAGGGGCAAATACAACTACAGATCTATGAGCTACCTTCCACTTCAAAACACAAGGCCAGGAAAAACTGCAAGTTGTTACTTCAGGTTTTTTGCTAGTACACAGCACAGATCAGCTGACACTGCCATTTCACAAAGGAGTAATTACTTTCTACAGTGAGGCAGCCAAGCACACAGTGAAGATGTATAACCCAGCCTCCCCTCCCCCTGATCAACTGAAAGGGAAACAACTCCAGCCACAACTCTGCAAACTGTGGATTACACCTTGTTGGCAAGGCTAATGAGCAAGCGGTGTGTAGTGCAGGCCTTCCAGAACAGGACTAAGTTGATATAGTACAAGCTCGAGTTTTTCAGATTGGCATCTGTACATATCAGAGATCCTGGGTTTCCTAAAGTCTTGGAAAGTAGCAATTGCTGGCACCAAGAAAAATTTAGTAACTAAGGCAAGGTATCCCTTCTACCCTTTTAAACAAAATTTGAGGCAAAAAGATTAAGCAACTTTAAGGCACTTTAAAAATTATTTTTAGTTTGCTTTACCAGCATACTTTATCAGCAACCTAAATCAGGATCAGTATAGCTCACATATAAGCATTTTAGCAACATTTTACAGAGCAACAACTTTTTTGTGACAATGCCTTCCATACTATGAAGTGTTCTGTAGCACTTTCCTGCAAGTTTTCCAAAAGATAGCCCTTTGAGGCCAAAAAAATTATATACTAGGCATAGTTTGCTTTGCCGAGCTGAAGGAGAACTCTGTCACACCTTAGAAGAGTGTTTTGCTCACTTCAAAGCACAGAATACAAGTTCATGGATATCTTTTTAAACAAATAAATGTAATAAAATAGTTCTGAGATAGGGAAAGGACAGATAAGTGATTTCACAATAAGGCCAAGGATATACCATCTAACTCACACATATACTGTTGCTGGAAACTGGCTGCTCACCCTGCCATATTAATAAACCTGAGCTGATTGTCTTAGTTTTGTTTAGAAAACCAAAAGATAATGAACTCAAAGGTACAGTACCAGTGAGTAACCTCTGCATTTTGTAGAAATTTGAGTCTTCTATGTAGCACAATAGGAACCATGCCTTTCAAACTAGAACACAAGAAAGCAACACTGCACTTTAAGTTTCCAACTTAAGTGCACTTAATTTGCTTCATATTTAAGTTCCACCACCACTATTATCTGCATTAACGCTGTCATTTTGCATTGGGTGCCAAATTCCAGTCAAGTCAGGGCTAGTAAGACAGTACTACAGATTATCCTGAAATTTATAATCAAGGGATATCATCAAAAGCTATGTATTATGTGCTACATCCACCACTTGATTTTATCTGTATTTCCATTTTTCCTCTGGGTTTATTTTCACAGGTGCTTGAGCCAACCTACATTGGAGATGACATACCTTTAATACTCAGATCACACGGCTGATCCGGCCAATTTAAAAAAAAAACAAACCAAACTATTTGGCCAAATAGATTTCCTTAACTAGTTCACTGCAGGGTGACACAAACCTGATGCCAGGAAGGGGGGAGGGGAAAGAAAAAAGGTATAGCTCTGGCAGCTCCAGGACTACAGGAATCCTGACCAGGATCACATCAACAGATCCTCTGAACTACTGTTAATTGCTCCTTCAGCAAGCAGACATACAGGAGGGTAAAAAAGAAAAAACCAAAACCAACAAAACCAAAAAACCCAAACGCTGAACTTATTTGCAATGAACTTAAGAACCATTTGAATAAGAAAAGCCTCAGGTTTTCCCAAACACCAGTATTTCAAGTATAAATGTAAGTTGTTGCCTTTTTATACAAGGAGTGAACTGAATTTTACTATTTTTATGGTTGGTCTTTGTAGGCCAGAACAAAAGGTAAACAACTTAAAGCTTCTGTTTGTAGTTGAACATTACTGTGCCATGCTCCCTCACCCTCAAAGTCAATAAGGGACAGTTATTTAGTGTAAAAAGGTTTTAAACTGGAATGCTCAAGTCACATGTATTCCATTCTCCTATATAAACCTAGTACTTAATAGTTTTATTTATCTTTGAGATTGGTGGGGCGCTTTTGCAGCCTACTGATTTTTAGTTTTTTAAGGCACTAATCTTCATCTCCCCTTTCGAAGGATTATCCTTACATCCCCTCTCCACCCTCAACTTTAATTGGAAAGGGCACAGGATTTCTATTTGGAATGCAGTATTTTACGAGGCAACTGTTATTCTTGTGTAAAAAAAATTATGGGTTATGTTACTCTGTTAAGACATTACCTACTTCTACAGTTTTGTTCCTCTTTCTAACAGCATGCTGTAAGAGCCACAAGCTAATATAAATGGTATTTCACTCCCTGAAGTCAGTCACCAATAATTCACACCTTGATAAAACTGAAGGGATACTGTATCAAATGTTGATTAAATTAGCCTTCACAATAAGTCATCATGAGATTGTCTACTCAAGACAGTGTTGCCACTGAATAAGAATCTCTGAACATCTACATTTGGCATATCAAAAAAAAGTCCCACAGCAGCAGCCACTAAAGGAAAATAAGACAGCCATTAGAACCCATGCAGCATATTGCAAGTAATCCTGTTGAAGAGATTCATATCACCTCTTGCCAAGTATAATGTTGCAAAAATATTCTTTTAAAGTCTTCTTTTAGGGATTTAAAGGATATTATGAACTGCTGTCTTCCATGAGCAACAGAAAATATTTTGGTTCAGTGAACTACAGGTGTTGGGCTACTAGTCCATTATAAAGTGGCAGGTCCTAAAGTGTGTGATAGTTTCGGTCTTTCGACCTGCAGAATTTGTACAGAAAGAAAATGACAGCCTGCAGACCCAGCACAAGGACAATTCCACCTATGAAACTCGCAGCATCAAACGTAGATTTGCGTGAAGGTGATGCAGGAGTCACAGTAGCATTTGTACCTGTTAAATACCACATTAAGAGTCTGTGAGTGCACTTAGTATTGGCTTCCTTGTATTAAAATTACTCAAAATATCCAAACACCAATAAGAAAACAAAAAATAATCAGAAGTAAAGACACGTCAGCAACTGCATTTAGATTAGTGATAATGAAATTCTGATTAAATACTGTTTATATAAGGCTAGAGCTATTTATAGCCAAACTGCTCTGGACCTCAATATTGAGCAAGTCCCAGCTGGACTTTATTTGCACTTCACAAAGCCAAAACTTTCCTCCTTTACATAGAAGTATATTACCGATATGCTCACATTCAAAACAGTTTTCCAATCTCTGCTGCTTGCTCCTTTTTTTTTTTGCTTAAATTCAAATTAAATTATCTTTCATCTACTGTTTTACCCCAAAAGTTATGCTTAAAGAAATCAGCTGAAGCCACAACACATAAGAATCTGGAAGTGACAGCCATCTGCCGATGGCTAGTTTTAAAGAGCTTTACTTCACGAGAGCTTTTCATGAAACAGCATATTCAGGATTGATGCTGAAATAAAACACTCCAGCTTATTCCCATCACTGTAGCCAAATCTTTTTTAGTTTTTTTTAGTTTGTTGGGGTTGTTTTTTTTTTTTTTTTAGGTATCCCATTATTATGCTGCAAGTGAAAAACAAAACACCACCTCCAAAAGATAAGTGAGTTAAATAGTGACTTCCAGCCACACTATTAAAAGCAGCCAGCCGATTTCATTCGACCAGCATGTTTCTGACTTTTAATATCTCACCAACTAGCTGTTTCTCAGGGTATTACCTTGCTATGTACACATATCACCTTAACAAAATCAGACATGCCATAAAGTTAGAAGTGACAGCAGCAGATATACCAATACTACTTTAATGTTGTCACTTGGTAAGTCTTTCAAGATAACACCTTTAAAGCAACATTAATTTCTAAGTATTTAATGCTTTAATTACACTATTAGTAGCCGTTACCTGGAATACTTGTTGTGGTAGCTGAAGTAATAGCAGTTGTAGACAGAGGAGCATGTGTAGTTACATTGGTGACGTTAGCTGTTTGAGAGAAGACAGTATGTACATACCATAAGCTTCAAGAGCAAAGTTTGCAAGGGCCAGAGTTCTCATGTAAATGATTTGCCTTGTTTTGCTTAAACAAGGATAAGCTTTGACCTCAGACTGTACCCCACACAATTTAGATGTTCAGTTGCATGGCATTAACCCAAGTTTCTCCAATAAGTTTTTGTTTGTTTTTTTTTTTTAAAACTTGCATACCGTTCTTATCCAAATATTTCAAGGTGCTCCACAGATCAGATAGTGATTCTTCATTCAGACAAACCCACTTTTCTTTTAAGCACCGATATTAATGCCGATATGAACAAGAATCAAGACAGCTGCTTCAAGACAACTGAGAATCTGCATCAAGGCAGAGGACTTTCATTAAACAGCCCTTAGAATCAGTTAGTACTTATTGTACTAAGAAGTACTTAATGTATTGTCTCTAGACAGGAGATAAACACTTACAGGATAGCAAAACTTCCTCTTTCTCCCCCTAGCCCCCAAACCACTAACTGTGAATGACATCACTGAAATAAGCAGTCACCTGTATCTAGACTGTCTCCTAAAAGCTCTTCCGTTATCAAGCCAGAAAACTAGGTCTCTGACCACCCCCTGCCCCAATTAGTATTACTAAAAATTAATCAGTATTCCACTATGTGCCTGAGAAGTGCCAAAATTTGCAGGTCTACTCAAAGCTACACATCACTGCTGTACATTAGGCTGTTCTGAGCCTAATCAAGCACCAACTTGTTATCTCCCAGCTCCTTTAAGCAGCAGATGCTTTTAAAGATGAGATTATTTTTTTTTTAACTTCACTGTTAAGATGGTAGCATGCATAAGAACAGAAATTTTTCAACTGGGCAAAACCAAACAAAAAAAAAAAAATCAAACTCCTAAGAACTCATGAGTAGTGAAAATGACTAACCTAATTCAAACAATTACCACTGAGCCAATTCTTAACTATATTGGAAAGAAGTGTCTTCTCTGTTAGTTTTATAAAATCCACTTCTTCCAAACCCTGGGACCATTTATGTATTCCATACATCATATATTTAGTAGTCATGCTACTAAAGTAATCTGTGGAAAAAGCCCTTGTTCTTTATTTTATTCACCATCTCCTAGTTTACTGCCATTCTGTGTTCAGTGGTATTGTATTACCTATAGTAGTATGAGGTATGGTAGCAGAACTGGCTGGGGTAGTATTGGAAGACGCTGTGGTAGTATTGGAAGATGCTGTGGTAGTATTGGAAGACGCTGTGGTAGTATTGGAAGACGCTGTGGTAGTACTGGAAACAGGAACAACTGTAGGAGCTATGAAAGAATAAAGAGTTATATTAAAGAGATTAATGACAGTAACTAAAAACCCCAACAAAATGGAACAGCAGCAGGCTGAGTTAAGTCATTCATATAGCACCAAGTTCTACTGTAGTTTTGGTTTGAAATTACAAAGCAGCTGAATGTTCAATCCACCACACTAACAGCAAAAGCTGCACGAGTGAATACATGAAGAAAACTTGTCACAGACAGCCAGATCAAGCCAATGTTCAACTGGCAACTTAAGATTCCTCAAAGCAAACAGAAGGGAGAAGAGTCCTATTGTACGAGCATAAACTGTGCATGCTTTACACAACAGGAAACCAGGTTTTCAGTACTGCTTCCCAACCTCACTGCAACCAAAATCAAAGCTGACCTTTTAAGTTCAACTAGAAATCAGTGGTTAGCCAGCTGAAGCAGTATGGAGGGAAAAACCAAGATATCCTCAAAAATTTGAAAGTTTAGCTAACGCTTTCTGTTCTGAGAGCTGTTGCTGGTTGTAGGTGCTCTCAGCTTCAGCATGTGCCGTGAAAAAACTGTGAAGCCTTCTGCAACTTACTGCATTAACTGAGTTCATCACACATAAACAGTTTATCT